CATTACAAAGACAGAAGAGGAAGAAAAGACCCAAATGGATGTCAGAAGAAACTCTGAAGATTGCACTGGAACGTAGAGAAGCCAAAGCACAAGGAAGAATTCAAGACACTAAAGAGCTGAACAGGAGATTCCAAAAGGCAGCACGAATGACAAAGCAAAATATTACTGTGAAATGTGCAAGAAGCTAGTCAGAAAATCAGAAGGGCAGAATTCATTCAGCATTTCTTGTAGTAGTGTTTTGTAATTTTCTTTCAATAGATCCTTTGTGTTTCTGGTTAGATTTAATCTTGTGATTCACTATTGTGAAGGGTATTGTTTTTCTTAGTTCATGCTCTGTATTCTCTTTGTCACACACAGTAGAGAAATCCAACTGATTTTTGTATGTTGATTTTGTATCCTGCTACTTTGCTGAATTGGTCAACTATGTCCAATAGTTTTCTTGCTGAGTCTGTTTAGGGTTTTCTAGGTATATTATCATATCATTTGCATAAAGGGATAATTTTACCTCCTCTTTGCCAATTTGGATACCTCTTATTTCCTTCTCTTGTCTTATTGCTATTGCTAAGACTTCTAATACAATATTGAATAAGAGACGTGAGAGTGGGCATCCTTGCCTAGTTCCTGTTCTTAAAGGGAATGCCTTTAACCTTTCTCCGTTGAGAACGATGTTGCCTCTCGGGTTTGCATAAATACTTTTTACTATGTTGAAGAAATTCCTTTTTAATCCTATTTTGTTGAGTGTTTTAATCAGGAAAGGGTGTTGGATTTTGTCAAAGGCCTTTTCTGCATCAATTGATAGGATCATGTGGTTCTTTTTCTTTGCTTTGTTAATGTGATGAATTACATTGATTGTTTTCCTTATGTTGAACCACCTCCTCAGGTTTTGGTATTGGTCTGTGCTCCTCATGCACAGTGATCACCTAATACTTTCTTTGCTACGTGCTGTCTAGGTAGCCCACAGGGTACTTCCCTCTTGACTGGCCAGGGCAGTTCTGACACTAAGGAAGCAGAGGCCCACAAGATTGTTCCCTCTCTACTAGCTCACCATTTCTTTTTTACTGAATTTTTTTTAATTATTAAATTTTATTAGTTTTAATGAACATTTACAGAGATTTTGGGTTTTCATTCATTCATTGTTGCACTGTTTTCTCCACCCTCCTCCCCAGTTCGTTCTTCTCCCCCCCCTTTACTGAAATTTTATGATTGTTAATAAAAGTAATTCAGGCTTTAGAAATCTCTTAAGCATGAGACCATCAATTGAGAAAATGGTGCAGGGCTAGGAAATACTTAATTCTTTTCATAAAATCACCTTGAGTTAGAGGTGACTGCTAGCAACAAAAAAGTGGGCAATCTCCTGCAGTTTGCAGCCTCTGTAAGCCCACTGATGAGTCAGCTGTGAGTTGTTTTCGACTTGCTAGCATGTAAGAACATGTTTGTATACTTTCTCTCAAATTATGTTTAAATCCTTAAGTAAGTTGTATATTCTGAGGGATTAAAAAATGAAAAATGAGAGATTTAACTGACTTTTTATAATGTTTAGAAAACAGGATATAGGCTGATAATTCTGTATATAAGAATGGCTAAAAATTGCAATATTTAATGGTAGGTTAATTGGTGAAAAAGAATTCTGAGAGAGTTTACGAAAAAAGAAAGTAAGGATAGAAATTATATTTCTATCTATATAAGTCTGTAGTAACTAAAATAATTATCCAATGGATAGGTTAAAATTCTTAAGATAGTTATATGAATAAATGCTCTAGTATGCACAGTTTGAAGAATCAATTAAGTGAGTGAATGGATACTGTTTTAAGACAGAGACATGCTTTAGGGTTAAGAAGGCAGTAACCGTAAGTCTTTTCATTCTGTCTTACACAAGTTTTTCTTAAGGTAGAAACTACTAGATTGCAATGTGTAATTGTGGTTGGTGCTTAGCAGAACTAGAAGCATACTATTTTTATAATTTATTTGATAGGGTGAACTAAGGAAGAAAACATGTCAAATAGTGTTTTGTTAAACTTTTTGTTTTTCATATTGACATTGAACATCAACAATGTGAATGGTGGAAATAACAGCATGCTTATGAAGATTCTATTTTGGTTAATCGTCTCTGACAAGGAGTAAAATTAAAAATGGCTAGCAAGTAATATAAAATGCAGAGTTTTTGTTTTTAATACAGTGTTGTCAGTGGCTTACACATGAAATAATATTGTTATAGAATGATTAAGTCATTTTGGCATCTTAAATGTAAAGATTGCTATCTCAAAAGATAAGATCATGTTTGTTTTTATGTAAGGATCTAAAGTGTCATTGCCATATGCTTTATTATGTTGTTATTATGTAACATTAAGTCAGAATCAACCCACAGTTGATCCTCTATCAGGTTTTCAAAGGCAATAAATTGCACAGGAGAAGATTGCTTCTTTGTCCTCCATGAAGCAGGTGGTGAATTTGAATCATGTGCTTTCAGATTGACAGCACAGGTCCTTTCCACTTGACCAGCAGAGCTTCCTGCTTGCTTCTAGCAACTTTATCAAATATGTGTGTTATTAATAAGGGATTAAAAGGCCTATTCAATTTTATTAAAGAAATTTTAATCTCATTCTTTAGGTGCAGAAAAAGGAAGATCAGCAATTGGAACTTAAAAAAAGTACCAGCCCTAAGAAAACTACAGAGCCTACTGTTGATCTTTTAGGTCTTGGTAAGTAATACAGAGCAAGTCATCTATTAGAATTATGGAACAATTGAATCCTTTTCTTGAAGTTAATATAATGACTTATTAATATGACCAAATGTACCTGTTAATGGAATTTGAAATGGTGTGATTAGTTTGCTGAGTTCTCACCAAGAAAAGAGATCTTTAATAAAGGTGTTGGTGTCTGTCAGCACTGTCTTACTAAAACATGAGTAATGAGTTCCATGGGGAAGAGTACATATCAAAGTGATCTTCAAAGGCTTGTTAAGTCATGACATTTCAGTATATAAAATGGAGTGGATTCTTTTCTCCTCAGGGGTTTTTATTTAATTTTTTTTACATAAAAATTTTTAAAATATCTTTTGATTTACAAGGGATTTTTCTTGTTAGCAGAATAATTCTGGACTATCTTTCTTGTAAAATGGATGAGCTATATTTGATGTCAGTGCTTATTTTAATGTGTTGGTTCTTATGGCAAATGGATATATATTGGCAGTCTAGTAAATAGAGGGTGCTTGTACTGTGTACGATGTTAATCTACAGATATTACCACCCATCTTTAAAGCTTTTCCCCCTTCTCCTTATAAAAGAAGAGTTAATCAACACTGATAGATATAATATTTGAGCCTTAATACAGGTTGTTGTTTATTTGTTTTCAAGTTTGAAGAATGAAAAAGAAAAATGAACAGAAATTGGGCAGAGTCAGCTTCATACAGATTTTCTGAAAATTTATTTTAGTTCTTACTGATTTAATTGTTTTCTGTTTTAAGAATTACAGTTGACTGTTTTATTACTTTCTTAGGCAGCTAGTGTGCCATGCAAATAATAAAATCCACCCAGGAACTCACTGGAAGGTCAGCCAGCTCTGAGTGGGTTCTGATGCTGTGGCAGTGAGTTATAAATGACAGCAAAAAAAAAGAAAAGAGGCTCAATGTCAAGAAGACAAAAATTCTCACCACTGGACCAATCAGTAGCATCAGGATAGATGGTGAAGAGATTGACATTGTTCACAGCTTCAGTTTGCTCGGCTCCACAGTCAACACTCTTGGCACCAG